ATGATTATCATCGTCTTTAAATTTTCAACATTGTTATCGCTTCCAGTAGTTCTAACATGAATATTATATATTAAACCATTTTCTTTAATTTCCGAAAATATTTTACTTTATCTTATTTTGCTGTTACTAATGTTTATAACATTATTATAATTCCGCCAATTCAAGGGAAGGTGAAATCAGCTAAGGCAAAGCACTAGCAGAGCCATCTATGTGCAGAGACACTTCACAAAAAAATATAAAAAAATGATCACAGAATTCCCCCCATTTTTTATTAATTTCCCCCGGCGGCAGTGGGTTAACATTGCAATATTGCTGAATTCATTACTATAGTCAGTACTAATTATATCATGATATTGTTCTCGATACCTTGTTCCAAAAGAGAATCTTCTTGAGCGGCACATTAGGCTCCGCATACCGCGTGGCATTCAAGAGCCCATCATGCAGGTGTCTCGCGAACGCAGCTGACGCTGGCGTTGCTGTTCCCGCAGCTGTGCTCCGGCTGCCCGCCGATGTATTTAAATGTGCAACGGAAAGAGGCACTTTTTGGGCCCGACGAATGTGTCTAATTCTGGAGGAATAAAGAATGGAGCATTTACTCATCGGTAATTGCTTATTATTCTTCCCTACCTAAATCATGAGTATTAACTAAACAATTATGAGTCAGTATTTGCTCAGAATTGAATACTAATAGTTATATATCAAATAGCTAAGTGGTACAGACTAACTTGTCCTGATTCAACTCTGCTCTTCCTCCTCTCCTTTTGTCCTTCTGTCCCACCTCATCTTCTCTACCCTTTGCTTTCCGCCTCTCCCCTTCTGTCTTTTCTTGACTCTCTTTCTATCCTTTTTTTCCACTTATCCTTCTCTATCCTTCCTTCCCGCCTATCATGGTATATCCTTCTTTCCCGCTCCTGCTCTATTCTTCCTATCTGCCATTCCCCTCCTTCCTTCGTTGTGACTTATCCCCTCTGTCTCTCCTTCCCGCCTATCATGGTATATCCTTCTTTCCCGCTCCTGCTCTAGTCTTCCTATTTGCCATTCCTCTCCTTCCTTCGTTGTGACCTATCCCCTCTGTCCTTCCTTGCGACCTATCCCCTCGGTCCTTTTTGTCACCTATCCCCTCTGTCCTTCTTGTCACGTCATTCCTTGCCACTTGTCCCCCCTGTCCTTCCCTGCCACCTATCCCCTCTGTCATTTCTTGTCACCTATCTCCTCTGTCCTTCTTGTCACGTCATTCCTTGCCACTTATCCCCTCTGTCCTTCCTTGCCACCTATCTCTCTGTCCTTCGTTGGCACCTATCTCTCTGTCCTTCCTTGTCACCTATCCCCTTTGTCCTTCCTTGCCACCTATCCCCTCTGTCCATCTTCGGCACCTATGCCCTCTGGCCTTGCTTGTCACCTATCCCCTCTGATCTCTCTTACCACCTATCCCCTCTGTCCTTCCTTGCCACCTATCCCCTCTGTCCATCTTCGGCACCTATGCCCTCTGGCCTTGCTTGTCACCTATCCCCTCTGATCTCTCTTACCACCTATCCCCTCTGTATTTCCATGCCTTCTTTACTGCCTCATCCCTGCAGTAAAGCCCTCTTTGCTGGCTTTCCAAATCTCGTTTCTTCGTGAGACCCCTTTATAGATCCCTTTTCTATCCATTCCCGATTTTCCTTCTCAGCAATTCATACCCATCGAGTTGACTGCTGACTGTCTTCATTGCTTTGCCGTCCCTGCCACTTAGGAAGCTGTGAACAACGAGGTACGGCAGAGTCAGCACCGCGCAGACCGCCACCACCTGCGAGAGTGTACGGAAAAGCAGACACTTTAGAGTTTATTAAGGGCAGTCATTGGCAATAGAAGCGTTCGTAAAAGTAATAACAATAACTAACAATAAATGACAGAATCAATGTAACTATAGTACTATAGGTGAAATTAATATCAGTTACATAAATGCGGAAATTCATATATACTAACAAATGTGGGTATATATGAACATGAAAATGCACATATGAGCGTGTGAAATTGTGTGTGTGTGTGTGTGTGTATATAAATATATATATATATATATATATATATATATATATATATATATATATATATACATATATATATATATATATACATATATATATATATATATATATATATATATATATATATATATATATATATATATATATATATATATATATATATATATATATATATATATATATATATATATATATATATATATATATATATATATATATGTGTGTGTGTGTGTGTGTGTGTGTGTGTGTGTGTGTGTGTGTGTGTGTGTGTGTGTGAGTGTGTCTGTGTATACATATATATACACACATATATTCACATATGTATACATATATATACATATATTTATATACATGTATATATACAAATATGTATACACATATATACATATATTTACACACACACACACACACACACACACACACACACACACACACATATATATGCTCGTATATATATATATATATATATATATATA